AAATCATCAATCACTCGTGGATGCGCACTACTGATGAGTCCCGTACCAGGACGAAACGGCCGTCCAGTGCTTCCAGGTTTCTAATGGTGGTCCGGCAATGACTGATTGATGATTTCAAATGTGAATAAACAGTTTATTGAAGATAAACTCTTGGGAAGGTAAGCTTTATAATTTTAATGACAACAGATAATATTGCAATCATAGTCAAGGAATACACTACATTATGGAGACAGAAATGCGATGAATGAACAAAAATTGGACAGAACTGAAAAAGGAAACCCAGGACAGAGTAGGCTGGAGAACACTGGTCAGTAGTGGACTATACTCCGTTGGAGGGTAACAGGCGTAAGTAATAGTAGATGGAATAATAAAAACGTTTTTGCTAATCTCTTTTCTAAAGATTATTACCTTAAATCGCATTGGCTTTGGTTAAGTTATTTGAAAAGAGACTAGTTTATTCTTTAGTTTAATCATCAATCCTATTCATAGTTTTTAGTAGGAATATGAAAGTCAATACTTGACATAAACTTGATTTTGAACAAAATCATATTCCCGAATCTTCATCGCAAAATCGATCGCGTCAGTACAAATGATCCATATAAGCATTAGAAAATATTTTAAAGAATTATATTTTCGGCATTTTATATGATTAATGAAAATGTGACTGAAAAAAAGTGATTTTTTCTATTCTATTCAGTTCTGCAGTTGATCAACAATTTGTTTTCATACATTCATTTAGCGTATCCTTTTATTAACTGCAAATATTTTATTCTTTCAGTTGTACATAAATAATTGATTGCTTTGATAATAATTTCAAATTTTCACTCTGTGTAATTCTATTTCGATAATGTCGCTTTATTCTTTACCCTTAACATAGATTTTTACTTTAAATAATCATTAGAAAACATGTTTTGTTTATCTTATGTTTTCAAAGTTTGAAACCAGTAAAATCATTTTCATGTTTCTGAGAAAACTATTTTATTACCAGTATCGAAAACAATCACAAAACTTTATAAAATCAATAAATACTGAATGGTTGTTTCGCAATGTTTCTGGATTTCTCAGCTTACTAGTCAGTCACATAATACCAATTAGTATCTAATGCTTTCAATCATTCCGATTATCGATTTAGCTATATAGCATGTATGATCTGCGCATCACATGAGAAAAGATGTTTGGAAAACCAAAGAATTACTGTGTTACTACTGATTAGTTTTAATAAAACTACAATAGCTAGTATTGAACTGTATATTTTTCATTTACTAAAGTTTTTGAGTAAATTTGATTGGTTCCAATAGATCTTGCTTATTGAGATCAATATTAAACTTATTTCAGAAGAATTCTCATATTTGATAAAGTAGAACCATAGAACTTTTAAATTACTTTTCATGAAAGACTTATCCATAAAAATGTATATTAAATGATTTAACTACTGAGCGGACTTTTAAAATATTTTGTTTTACTTCGCTGATTTTTAGTTACTAAAAACTCTATTTAGAAGTTTCATAGTAGAACGATTAACTGAAAGAAATTAATGATGACTAAGGTGATTGAACCAATAATTGTTTGTATAAGTGATCTTTAAATCCAACAAGAAAGATATCAGAAGACGGCACCACTGTTCACATGATGTAATAAAAGCTGTCAATTAAACACAAATATTCAAGGGGTTTGACTGAGTGAATTATTTGATAACGAATGAATGATCAAGAAGAAAACATATTTGTCTTTGGATAACTAAAAATAGACTTCATTCCCACTCATTAAGTCAAACACACTTATTCTCTTCAACCAATAACATTTATTCATTGAGAGTTCTACCTTCATTATCGGTAAAATTAACTTCATAACGTTCTAAACCTAACATTATGAATAGACTATATGCTAAACATCTTCAAAGCAGTCACAGAATTATGCATTCAACAGTAAATCACATTTACAAATAATGATCGTAAAAATATGTGCATAAAGTTATGCATATAAATTACGGACTGAAATTAGCCATCTGGAACTAGACACCATTGGTCAACTTTTTCGTATTACTATGAGTCTTTTCAGAAATGAATAATTATGCTGAATGCTATCATAGGACGAGACAACTTTCTGATGCACTCTGGTATTTCCGAAAATTAATATGCTTAAGCTAAATTACCAACAAGGCATAATCATCATTCAAAAAAATTGGATGTTTTAATAGTCAATAGACAAAGTGTATATGACAATACCAGAAAAGTAATCAAATTGAATATAACCAACAGACAAGGACAGATATGTTCGAAAATGTCTGAAACATATATATTTCACAGGAAGTAATAGTAACTAATTAGACAATCATTTATCCTTTAAGATTTTTCCAAGTAGATTAATTACAAAAGGATCTGTATTCTAGGTATCAAACTAATTCGTTTAGATATCTTCAAAATGTATTGTATATTCAAACAACTACATGAAGTAGTTTATATACTAGGATATTAACCATCGTTATTATGATGGCTAACAATGATATATGTTGATCTAAGTCAAGGCAGTTTTCATTGGACTCAAGTTACTGATACAAAGTTTGAGTACATAGTATGTTGCCACAGTAATCCTCTCCTCCTTATTCAGTTGGTCTAGGTTAATTCTACGTTTGTATATAAGTTGTCAGTCTAATGATATTGCAACTAATGACCTCGAAATGACCTTGTTGGAGCTGTATCCATTTCTCAAGAAGCTTACAATTAGGTTTAAACTACACTTTAGTCACTTAAAAATAAGTTTACTCAACCTGTGACCACAAGAATATTTTGTTCCATCTAAATATGTCGGTTATCTAGGATAAAAGAATGGGCTTCTTATGACTATTAACATTAATTCTCCATAATAATTATTTAACTGGTTTTTTTCTTAATTTGTGCATTACTTAGAGTAAAAGCTTATCAAGATGTTGTTTGTTCATTTATTTACGAATATGAAAAAAATTTATTCTGCAATTTGCTTTATTGCATAGAAAATCTTTGTTTGGAAAAAAGCGAAAGCATTCTAAACCCGAATCTACTGAACATCCCTGTATAACTGAAATCATACTTTCGAAGGAATTCAAAATACTCTCATATTATGAGGTAGAAGATATGTAATTAACTACCTCTATTTGTGCAGACCGATGTAGATAATCTTAATTGCCTGGTGGCACTCCTACTTTAGTATACAAGAGCTTTGAATGCATTCAACGGAAAGGGTCTTCTGTAGGCGACAACTATTCAATTATAGCCATCTGCTATTAAAAACCTATCCAGGTTGTACAGGACCTCAGTGAAAATTCCTCCAAAAAATCCTCAGTCAAATAACCTCAGTGCATAGTGTAGGGATAAATTTAATTTTCACTTACTACTGGTGGTGCCGAAAGATGAATTATAATCAGTGATTATTTCTATCAATTTATACCTATAATACTATCGATTACTAGCTCATTTTATCAAGAGAATCGAATGTGTATATCTGTGGAAAAGAAGAAGTCCTGGTTCGTGTAAAAATGCTGAAAATGTCGATAATCAGCCAAAACCAAGAACAGAAAAGTCCGTTATTTCTTCTCTTGAAATCATGTGTTTTTTCCCTATATTATAATTTAGTTTTGTAAGAACTCAGCAAACTGTCGAATAATTATTTATACATATTTTTGTGGCGGTGTTCTAATTTCATTATTTCATCACGGACCAAATGATAAGTGTATGGGACAAGATATTCACCAATAACGGCTTAATTCCTTAAGAGACAAATATATATGAACAAATGTACAATTCGACTTAGCTAGGTTAATAAAGTCCCCTTCTCACTATGTCCTTCACTTGAGTAGCCAGTTGGACTCGTGTAAAAACTCTTGCGAATCACACATCATAAATTACTTAGACGTTTTTGATCCCTGGATATTCATTGCCTAACTAATGACTTTCTACGTGCTAATCCACTAATTATTAAGGCAGAAAAGTTTTTACCGAATTTTACTTTACAAAATTACCTAAATGAATATCATGATCAACCGTTTGAATTGTATAAACAATAAGAATGTGAATTAATATTTTAAAAGAATGAGATTTCAAATATTCCATCGGTAAAAAATGGAGTCTTTAGATTACACAGTGCTGAAGTTAATAAATCATGATTAGTGACTAAACACACAGCTTTTGATGAAAAAAATGATTACCATCAAAACAAAAGCAGTTAGATGAATAAACGTTTTCACATAGTAAATCAAAAATAAGAAATAATCCAGATATGACAGTACAATAATGAAGGCTTTAGGAAGTGAGCATTTAAACTATGTATAGAATTCTTTTGATATGAATGAAAATACATAAAAGCAAAGATAAGGGGACAGGAGCTTTGTGTCGTATTTTTCTAACCACTAGTGAATGACAGCCAATAAAAGCAAACAGTCGATCCATAAAATTGGAACCGTAAACAATGAAGTATACACCGAGTTTTTTTTAGGTAGAAACACAGATCTTATACAATCGAAAAACTTTACAAAATGTATTCATAAGAAAAATATTACAAGTTTAAATATGTCATCAGGATGATAAGAAAAATAACATGCCTAAGCAAAGGATTTAGTGCAGAACTAAAGTATACAGAGCCACATATTTATATAAATAGGAAAGGTGAAGCAGTCATAGAGCAGAGAAAGAAATAAGCATTTACATAAGACTGAGTGAAATAGTTCACTGGGACTGAAATTTCAGGTGGTTAATATTATCACATGATAACATACAAGTCTGTAATTTCGTAAAAATCAACGATAGTTTGTTAACCAATAGTTAAGAATAAGTATGCAGCTGTTGAATATCATTAAAAATAAAGTTACGTAAACGTATCAATGAAAATTTAAAAGACATACACCATATATATATAGGTGAGATAGTATATTGAAGGATTATATATAAAAGATTTAACGGGGAACAAATGGTTAGTAGATAAAGTTTATTCAACAGGTAGATTAATTTTACAGGATCTATCCAAGGTTTTCACAGATTTCGTTTATGAAGTCCATCACAGGGAAAGCCATTTATTTCTAATGACAAACTGTAACCATTGGATATTTTACTTTCTGAAGGAGGACTATTTACTTTCAGTCCATTTTCAATGTAATGATCTTTATCCTCTCTGGGTGGAAGTAGAAAATCGTTACGAAGAAGTATGTAAAATAGAACTGGATTTAGGAGATTCATGATGAACATACTTGTTCCTAACAATACAGTATAAAACGGTGTCATTTTTTCGGGGTTCATGTACATGCCCCATGAAATACGAAATAGTGCGAAACCTCGACAACCTGCGAATGTAATTAGATTCAGAACAGCATTGAACCGATAAGATAAATCCATCGAGGGAACTTTATGCATTTGCATCAATTTGCGAGTGTGAAGAAATATGCTATTGACTTCAGCAAGTAGAGCGATAACTGTGTAGGCTATGTAACGAACGGAAAGTACGTTATAGATGAAGGCAATCAGAACCTAAAAATAAATATGGAATAACAAATTCGCAAGTTTGAAATAAGTGGCTGTAAGTGTTTGACAGTACACGTAATGAATGTTATGTTCGGTGAGATAAAAGCTGCGTGAAACCAATTTTGACCCCTAAGACTACTGATGCTTATTGTGTAATATATATAAAAATGTAGGATCAATAGAATTTTCAAATTAAGTGTTAAGCAATTCTATTATCTAAAAATCGTAATACCGTTTCTTATTTCTATATACATATGAACCAAATTACAGATTTGCCTTTAATTACTTGCTTTTAAATGACCTGGGTAGTGCCTATTTGTAGGCTATTTAATATGTCAAGCTTTGATTCGGGAAATCATGCGGCCTAAAAATGGGAAGTCCCGGTTTTTAAAAAGTATTATTTCCAGCTTGTAATGAATATTTCTGGTCAGATTACTTAGTAGGTTGTACATGAGTTAAAATCGTTTATGATAACTCATTGTATCATAGATATACATCGAAAGAATTATTTCTAATTTGTAGAGCTGACATACCTGAGTACCAGCTAGTGGAGATTATACATACTTGCAAAGAATCGTTTGGGAACTCTATCATCGATACATAAAACCATAAATTTAATAACCTACAACGATTAATGATTCTGATTAGCTACTTATTTTGAACTTATTACTTTATCATGCTGTTAATAGGAGCTTGCAAAAAAGGGATACGTGACGAATTATACGCCTTTAAAATAAAAGTTGATTGCCAGTGACACCAGATGACTGATATTCATCATATAGTTAGTGTGGTTAGGGTTAGGACTAAAACGAACTACATTGGCGTCGAAAGTTCCATTCCAGTGAATGATACTAAGAAGCTGCACACAAAACGATCTTACTTTTCCGTACGATGGGAAAAGGTTTCCATTTCTAATAATTTTTGTGTAGAAAAATAGTAATCTCTTAGGTGTCGGTTATTCCTCGACACATGCCAATAAAGTTACTGAGTATTTACTTTGCTGAGTGCAGATTTTCCGTATTTTCCTGTGAAAGTTGTTGATGCTAGACGGACACAAAACTAGAATTAGAAGTAGAGTTAGAGCTTGGCACTAATCACTTAAAAGCATAGTTTTTGACCCATTTCCAATGAGCTCTAAAATAACGCTGAGGAAATGAACAATGCTTACTAATGACCACTGCCATTGATATTTGCTGAACTCACAATAGCTTCACGAAACACATTCCGCACAACGAAACTCGCTTGCTTAATGACCATCAGTCAGATAAATGAAATGTTTTCATAAAGGGGAAATAGTTTTTTTAAGTTGCTACCACTAAGCTCGCACACTAATTGATTAGATAATTCAGACAAATTTAGTGAAAAACAAAACTTAGGAAAATATCACATTAATTTTACCCATTAAATTACTTACTGCGAAGTGATGTAATGTTAATTCCCACATTTTGAATATTTGCCTTTGCACGCACATATCCCAGAAATCATAGATAAAGTAACCTAGGTGATGTTAAATCATAAGGTTGCACAGTACCAGTAGAAACGGCCACTAGGTAATACGTAAAAGGCACGATATGGTCTACCGGATCATCCATTAACTCGGGATAGTAATAAAAGCTGAAAATGAAACCAAAATCGTTTAACAAACCACAAAATATCCCATGTCCCGACTAAAACAGCATGTATCCAGGAAACCACCATATTACGCCACTTCCATATGGCATGTGAACCTTTACAAACAACGGTCGTAGGGGGATTTACTCGCCTTAAAATATAATCTATTGCACTGAAAAATGTCACAGATAGAGTGATGCAAACTGTGCCGCAACCAACACTTGGAGGTGGCAGCAATCCATGCCAGTACATTAGCGACCTAAAGCTATCGTGACCACTGATCACGCTTACTTGACCTTCGATTTATATTGTTAACGGGTAATTTTGAACGGATATTTAATGTTCCAATATGAATGAGCGTTACTTTTCAGGATGGGCAGTACGCTACGTGATACGAGTTAGACTTGACGATCAGGAAATCTATCAGATGATCTAGTTTTCTCTCGAGTGTATCAAGAGGAGGAGCTTCAACTATTCGCTGACCTATGGAAATCCTTTTGCCTTTGATGGGTTCATTGCCTATTGACAAAAGGAATAGATTCAGTTTATCTAGTTTCTCGTCACACCAAAGCTTGATTTCCGGAATCGTTATAGTAGAAGTTATTTTGATCCAACCACCTGTAAGACCTAAAGCTCTTGATTCTAAAAAATTTTCGCAGCCACTGGACAACGTTTTGCTGTAATTTTTATGCCTTAACTGAAATAAACTCTCAAATCAGTGAATATCCCAACAATAAGCAACCCGAAAACACTGCCGTGTATGTTATTTTATTTTAGTAACCAGTATGTAAAATAATGTACATGATAACCTTTATTAGCAGCCGCCTAATTCTGTAAGCTCTTAACCAAACTATAAATAATTTATCACTCTTTATGTCATGATATCGTTAGTATTTGAGACCACCAACTTTACCCCGTCATGCGGGAAGCTTTTTTATGGTGAAAAAATATCATCAAAAAACCTCGCCTCCAGGCACTACAATAAATGGAAGTTTTTAAGCTAGATCACCAGGAGTTAAAACACACCATATCAACATCCAACTGGACGGTCATCCTACACGCGATTACTTCATCTATGAACCATATATTTCTGAACTTCAATAGCGATCCGCCTTGTGGAACTATGTCAAAAGTCCCAATGAAGTCAGTAGTGTCAATCTCAGTAGGTAACATTTGTTCGTCAAAACCTCAAATTTCTAGATCATCAAACAGGCCGATTACTTTCAGTTCACTTATAGTCATAAGACTTGTTCGTACCACAGGAAAAGCATCAAAACAGTATATGTGTTACCAATGTTATCTCAGAACCCCTGAGCTTGATTACACTTTCCCTCTACAGGCGATGAAATACCATTGCACGTATACATGATTGAGACAACCTTTCCTGAAACCTTTTTCTTCAGTACTTCTAGACCAGCATACCACAAGTCCCAACGGTCCCAAATGAGAGACTGCCGTATATGTTCAGCATCAGCTTCTAAAATTCTCATTGCTCTGAAGTGATAAGGAGTGGACAGTCTACATTTCTAGAGCCATAAAATTAATGTGCCTTGATTGGTTTTTACTCATCCAGTCGGTTTCTGAATTTTCATGCAAATACAAGGGTAACGTAATCAGAGCTACGGGTTTGTAGAGTATTGAAGTCCAGCAATGAAAAATTTCTTTTGTTCGTGTTTTTCCTTTTCAACGAAAAATTCAAGTGGATGCTCCAGAACTAACTGCAGATAAAATGACACGCTTGTTCGAAAATATTGTCAGTTTGAGCACTAGTATCGATGCGGTCAACGTTTCTTCGATTCTAGCATAGAATTATCACTGAATTGTAGTATGTTTGCTACGCTGTCTATTCGAGCTACTTGATCGAGCTGTCTGACAACCTAGATAAAGTAGAACCTCTCGCAGCCGTTAAAATTCTGACAGAGACTGTAGCAAAATGTAGTCAAATCATGGGAACGCGAGTGGATCACCATGAAAAACATTGTTCAGTTCATGACTACTTACAAAATCTATAAATTTCTGTGATCATTAGAATTTTAGTGTTTGATCAACCAGATGTAGCCAAACATGTTCTTGGCGTAAACATACTCACAAAGTTATGGGAAACGACCGAGAGGAGGTGCCAAAAATTTCCGCTTATATGTTTCAGGCTCGAATACTTTGGATGACATAGTTGCTGCCCTGAACACAACACCCAATAAATAAACTGACTTGGATTGAAAAATGTCCTCAGTTACACTACAAGCTACAGAGAGTACTAAAGTGGGGACGTCTAGGCAGCAAACGTTAACCCTAGATCTTGGATTTAGAAGAGAATCCCTCATGATGTTCACACTAGTGGATGTGAACCTGGCAATCCTGAGAAGAGATCTTTTAGGTAGATATAAATTTCTAGTTGACACTAAGAGACGGTATCATACCACACAAAAGGCAAAGAAAGCCAAATAGTGAAAAGTAGATTAGTTGTGACTTATTGAGCTACAGAGTTAAAAGGAAAAAGAATCAATAAAATGTCACAGAAGCATCAGATCAATGTGCTTCATCTTTACACTCTGTAAATCAAAATCATTTCTAACAGTTTAGTTCTTTTGAATTTCCTCTACTTATAAGATTATTTGCCCACTGATTACCTCACTATTGACTTATCTTCATTAGCCTACATCAGTGCGAGTGTTCTATTACAGAAAAAAAGGTCTGAGTAATCATACCTTTGTTTTGTTGAAATGTATTATCTGCTGAGTCATGACTCTGCCTCAAACAAGAATGCTTTCTGTCCTGCTCCTAGACCTTATCTCTTTATTTATCTTTTTTAGCACCTTGTTCTTAAAACATTTCAATCAAAGTAAGCAAGTGATTTCAAGTTGCAGTGTCGGGACACAGAAGTGTCTGTCTACAATTGGTGGTTTAAATTCGGAATTGTTCAAAAACTAGAATATTTCCTATATCTGTTAACATTGCCAACTTCAGCGAGCAAAATACTAATAACATACTGTTCGTCAGTGTGTAGTGCCATTCAATAAAACGTTTTCATCACTCAGCTGATTATGACTACTATACTTTCGAAGCAAACTTGTACTAATAATATTCCGTTGAATAAATAAATAATACTAATAATAAATTATATAGGCTATAACAGGTTTCTTAGTTGAATTGATGAGAGAAGTGGTACTTAGGCAACAACAATATAAGCAGAATGAGTTGAAGTTCAAAACTTCTGGAAGTTCATATTTTTAAGATATATCATAAATAGTACTGATATATTCCAAATGTTCAATAGTTGAAAAGGATGATCAGTAAGGGACGCTTATCCAAAACAAAATAAAGTGGTAATAGAAAGTGTTAGCTGTTACTGCTAAAAGATTTACTGTAATACTGTAAAACAATGATTTCTTTGGATTAGTATATTTGTCCCTGTACCTGAATATCACACTAATATACAGTATTCATTTCCTTGATTAACGCGAAAATTACGAGGAGAGCTATATACAACATACTCATTGAATGCTAAAACTGTTAAAGATAACCTTTATCTTAGTCAAAAATAACTTCCAAGAATCATTATTTATGTAGCGAAAAAACCCATCTACTATGACTGCCAAAGAATAACTAATTAACGCTTTAAGTCTAGAAGTAATTTTAACTTTAAATATTGTTAATAAGAATAAGATGGACTAGATAAAGATATGTTGATAGAGAGTAAAATAACTCATATCAAAGACTGATTGTACCTCTCTCCTGATCAGTATTTAATATCAAAAAAAAATTTTCGAAAAATACAGCCAACTGTTTAATTTTTTTATTTTATTTTGTACATGATAACTTTGAATTCAACGAATAGTTGCTTATGTATTTTCATATGAACAATTTTAAAGAAAAGGCAATAAAATGAAATCAAATAAACAATTAATAAATAAATGCTGATTTTGAATGTTAATTCATTGGAAAATAGATCTTGAATTCTCCTTCATTAAATTGTACATTCTTACAACTGGTTCATTTTCTAATTTGTTCAAAAAAGCTTCTTATATATATATATATATATATATATATATATATATATATATATATATATATATATATATATCAAAAAAGAATCCACTTCAGAAAATGAATGTATGAGAAAAATTCAATGAATAAATAATGACTATACAATAGATGATCAAAACAGAGTTAGTACTCGCAAAATGAAGTTTTTGCATGATCGACACATATCTTTCATGATATTAATTGGTTAATTAATATTACCATAACAATATCCATTCTATATTTCACCTGAATCAAGTAATGGAGATTCTTGTTTGCCGGAAGACAACTTTGTTGATTTTTTATGTTTTTTACTACCAAGACCGAATACTCCAGCAACTGCTGATTTAAAAAACATACCTTTACAATCTTCTGCATATAGTTCATCACTATTATTAGAATTATTAGTAATATTATCATTACGTTGATTTATTTGTCGTCCTTTCGATGAACTTGGACCGCCAAAACATTCCAACTTACTTGGTAGTAATTTTTTATGCTTCACAAAAGGTGCTTTATTTGTATTCTGTATTTGTTTGTATTCATTCGACGAAAAATGAATATTTTTTTGACTATTAAGTAAATAGTTATTATTCTTGTTACAATTAAATTGTTTATCATCCAACTGAGTAGTTTTTTGTAGAGAATAGTTAGGCACTTGTGTAATAGATACGCCTGATTTTGTGATTGACAAATTAGGCTTTCTATTCGTTGGAATAATTATTGATGGATGCGAAGTGAGTTGATTCTTCATAGGATGGTAATCTTTTTGACAATAAGCTGTAGCTGGAATTACCAATGGGTTATATTGAACAAGATTAAGAGCTGTAGCAAAATAGAAATAAATAAATCATTTAAGTTATGTTACTTTCTTAGAGCGTCAATATCATTTCTGACATGTTATTGTCTTTAAGCCAGACAGTTTGTTGAATATGAAGCATAATCAAACTACAGTTTTGCATAATTTTGCATCAGATCAAGTTATGATAATATATTAGCATGACAAGTTGAAAATAACAACGGTAAGCGAGTTAAAATTTTATAGTGAGAATGATGATTAAATATACTACGTATGCGAGGATATTTGGAAAAAAAGAGAGTGAAAAAGTGTATGTGAAAGAACAATGAGACTCATGATCAAGAGTAAGATAAACAGTGAATGCAAATGAGTCACTGTGACTGATCACACCACCCAATATCTTCAACTAGTAGTTGCGGTTGTTGCAAGGATCTAAAGCAGATAGTTTTGATCAATCAAGATAGCTATAACCATCAGATTAGAGAATTTATATAATGGTGCCACAACTTAGTTTGGACATCGTTCGCTTTTTTTTCTAGTTTACTTCTACTCCAGATAACAACGCTGGTTTTGTCAAACGATGACTCAAAATATGTACAATAGGTCCCAGCCACCTTAGTCAGAATAGATTCATGAAATTATCAACCGTTTTACCACGGCCGCTGAACAATTACATAAAATTATGTACGTCTGAGTGGTTCTTTCCTCAAACTTGAAATATAATATTTTAGAATTTGAAGCTTTCAGCCAATGTATATTTGAGTATGAACAATCTGAAGAAAGTTTCATACTTCAACGAAATAATTTCGTGCAGTTCTTTAATTTCTGAAATTCATTCAACCAAACTTAATTCATGTTAATAATTATTTTGTTATTGTTGCTCTATCAAAGTAAATATGATTATTGTTTTATTAGGTCATTTTGTTTAAATCATTCAACAGCTACTTTCGAGGTCATAATAATTTATAAATGTGTTTAATTTGTCGAAAAAAAGAAAAAAAAACAATTTATAAAAAGTACATCAAGTATCATATTTTGTTTGAATTAATAAATAAAGCAGTCAATACATTTGTTAACATTTCTTATCTCAATGTTGATTATTATCGAATTTCAGAAGTCGACTTGACAATTGTATGAGAACGTGTGATTTTAAATGATCTACTTTCATTAGATAAAAATATTTCAAATTAAATTTAATTATAAATTATAATTACAAATTACAAATTAAATACTCCGATATTTATGTTCATTTAAAATTTCAAAACTAATAAACAATATCTTAATAGTGGTTAATATAATTTAATTGACTAAATTAATCAATTCTAAATGTATCTTGTGAATAATGATGTTTCCAAATTTACATTTATAACATATTCATATTTTCTTTTGATTATTTTGCAATTTTAAAAGAACTATTCTGACTCATTGACTTTGTGATTTATTAAATTTTTATAGGTTAATAAAACATGAATGAAATCTGGATCAATAGCACAGATTTCACATAAAAAAATCACATCACTTATTTATCATCATATTTTTCCTCACTGATTCGTTTAGCGAATTTTATTAATTATTTTGCAAACATAGGTCATATATTTAAAATGACCTTGATATAATGAAGACTGAAGTAAACATGAGTTGTCATTAAATTATCAATACAAATCTTAAATGAATATAATGAAATTAAAAATATATATTTGTGAATAAAGTTTATTTTTTAACTTAGTAATACAAAGAAACATTGTTAGACCATAAATTTATTGATGTAACAAGTTTCTTGAGTATTATTAGAAAATAATGTTAGCTTAATGACTGATCAGTTTTTGTGTATACAAAATTTATTTGAATAGCATATACATATTTAAGACAGTAGTAACATTTAAATACTTTTAAAAGAAACAGTAAATTAGTCTGAGTGTCCAGTGAGAAAAATGCAGCAAGACGAATGAGATTTCACCACCAACTAGATGGCAATGAGCGCGGTTTATATTTGAAAAAAGGATTACGTTAGGAAAGATCATTTCGAGGTTAAACAGTAAGATGAAGATTGTTAAGAGTAACAGTTTGATGAAATGATATTTTCTGAAAGTCATTGATCTACAACTGAGTGAGTTAAAACAGGTAAATTCTTCAATAACGAGGCAAAGAATTTTTAAAACAGAACACCCTTAAACTGTAACGGAAAATGAAGAAACCAATATCAACATTCATACAGTAAAACTTAATCTATGAAATGACACATACAGGACAGAACATCAATTAAAATTACAGCTCATATGAAGTAATAACTGAGATAACAACTCATTGGTAATGTATTTGAATGTAATGCTGGATGATTCATGTTACAATGTTGGGGAGAAAAGCGATTCCTTGAAAATAAAGATTCAGGTTTTCCTATTGAACTCTTAAAAAGATCTCACAATAATTGAAAATGTATTCAATACTAATTAGGTCCAGGTCCCCATTAAAAATCTGGTTCTCTACAGAATTAAAGTTTTTCGCTTTAAAGTTTCATTGATAACCAGGTCGACATTTATCAGAAAAAAATCGATCGGTTCACGTAAACAAGTATTATGAAGTGGATTTCCTTAAAAAAGTACAATCGTCTAAATATTCGACAGAACTTCATAAAAATTGAATTCACAAAAATACAACTAACCTGGTATCTGGCATTGATCTAATCTGTCCTGAAGGTGATTAATTTCACTGGGACGAACGATCTGTAAAGGATTTACAAAATTTGAACTACAGGATATTGGTATCTGATTAATATGCGTGCCAGAAGGATGTGGAAGATAGTAGTTTTGATTATGCCAACTTTTTTCCGCTGTATGATGACCTTTATTTATTGGATAACTGGATTTTAGATTGACATCCCGATTAACGTTTCCTTTCCTTTCGGACACATGAAAGTTATCACGTAAGCTGGAGGCATGTAAGTGTCCGCCACCTGTTACATTCGTTTTCGATGGTAAAAATTGTGATGTAAATAATTCAGGCTGTTTTGCATATGCGTTATCATCTTCATAAGACACTGTTTTGTTTTCAAAGTGAAATAAATAAAAGGGAGTAATCAGTGAATATATAGATGCATATAAATATATCCAGCTAATGAGACTCAAGTGGGACTACATTTACGTCTTTAATACCATTGTTAACCGTGTTCTATCCATTCTTATAATAAATTAACAAATTTTACTTCACTGTAAAAAGAAACGTTTCTAATAAAACTGAGATATTGCACTCAAAAAAATTGTATTTTAAATGTTTTTAGCTATTTGTATGTAAAGGAAACTGAGAAACAATTAATTATGTGACTTATGGTTTAATGAAGTAGGTTAGTAAATCCAAGCAACAGAACACTAGTTTAGATATATTTCAACAACGCGAAAGTATTGAAATTTTGAGTTACTTTAAAACATCTCTGCAGATGTGACTGATAAATTGTTAGACATTCATAGTGTACTGACAGAACTGGTTGTATATATATATATATATATATATATATATATATATATATATATATATATATATATGTTTGACATTTATTTGATTACAGATAAGAAGATAGTTGTTAATTGTACTAAAGTAAAACCAAATGATTCATCAACTTAATATTGCGAAATTGAAAAACCAGTTGAATATACAGTTAATGATACAAAAATTCTGCTGCATCTTGAAATGTGTTATAGCTAAGAGTTTCATAATTTCACTGAATTGTTTACTTGTTCGAAAAAAAGGAAGTCTAATTAAATTAATGAGAAATCAAATGAAGTTAAAAAAAATTGATGAAGTAAACAGACAATGTAGATTGGAAAACATGAAGAAGAGTGTTTAGATTCATGATGAATAATGTGACAATGATTTTTATTGGAAGTAAAACAGTTAAATTAACAGATTTTAACGAGAAAAAATTACCTAGACGTGAATTTTGAAATATAATGTCACAAAATAACATACAATTTGTTTACATATTCGAGACCGAGACCAATCATGCAAGCAATTTAAGCTGGACAACATAATCATTTTGAATAAATAAACTAAACTGCCACTTTAGAATGACAAAATTTTCAGTAAAAGTCAAATCCTATGAAGTGCAGTAGCCATGGATGTGCATTGCTGATGAGTCCCATACCAGGACGAAACGGCTATCCAGTGCTTCTAGGTTTCTAATGGTGATGACTGATGATTTCAATGTGTAAAAACATAATTCTCCATTACTCTAATTGGAAAATAGTCAAATTATTTGATGATATTTGTTTGTTCAATGTTTTAAAACGCTGTATCATTCATTACGTAGTGGTAAAGAATTAGATTCTAATGAATAAGTATAAACAGTTCAATATTGATAAATTTAAAACTAGATAGTACTTTTGGTCCGAAATTATGCTACTCAAATACTCAAATGTAACAGTAAAACAACAATATTCTTTACGATTTCAACTTCATTACATAAGAATTCATGCAAATTCGAAAACTACTTCGTTAAGTACTTAAACTACATTTCACGTGAACACAATAAAATAATAACTAAAATAGCAATAAATATTACAACAACATCAAAAAGTACAATAACAGAAATGTATCATATTTTCGTTGTATTCCCTTATTCTTTTTTATTTTGATTCAACAATAATCACATGTTACTAGTGATGTTGAATTGTGTAACCCGGTGATAAAATCAATCGAATTTACAGTATTTTTTCATGAAACCATAAAACGGAAGGATACATACATACTTATACAATTAGATATTTTTTAAAACACATCGTTATGAATCGCTTTTCAAAAATAACTGTACGAACGTTTTTATTATGTGAAAATGTCAACATTATACTTTTTTTCTTTTAAATTTACTTATATTCTGTTTCTGTATCAAATCAGTAATTTTTAAAATTAAAATTGTTTTTACTTTTTCAGAATTAACTTTAGCATTTAGACTAAATTTGAAGAAATTATTCGTTGTAAGATTTACTATTTAAAAGGGAAATTTCCTGTTCATCGGTAACTAAGAAATACAGGATGATTGTTCAATGATTTTTGTAATTCGTCAACTGAATGTGTCTAAATCCTACAGTTGATAGCTTCATTGATACTCAACCTAGTATATACTGTTATGTTCGTCACTAGGTACTCTTGAAGCTAATACGAGTTCACCTTAGTCGATAAACGAAAACGAGACAATTAGCAGCGTCGAGGTAGGCTACCTTGAATCCCAAGCGGTAAAACAGAAGTCTTTGTAAGCGTAGAAAGTATATTCTACAACACCCAGCAATCACAATACAATCAAGCACACAACTCTAGTTTATTTATACATCATAGAAACGTCCTTGGGACAGTCACAAAAATAGCACACTATAATGCAGAGCAGCCAATCACAGCCATGGATTTTCCTGGTGGGAAATGAAATCTCAAGGTCAAATAATCAGCCTATGCTCACAAACGTGAAATCCGAAATAGGGCCAAGCGAGTTCTGGGGTTCTAGCATCCCCAACACATACAGCTTCATATAGTCATATGTGAATAAGTGAATCACAAATTATTCAATGCATGGAATCATTAAAATTGTTTGTGCTTTCTAGTTGTTGTTATTTAGTTTTGAGTATGATCAGTTTGTATCAGGATGTGGACTCATTGAATCAATAAATGGATGCATGAAATGATCAAACAAAAATACACGCCGATTCAGTAATTCAATGTTGCTTGCTGATTAAAACTGTACTGAATGCTATGAAATTACTTAACGGATTGATTCCATAGCGCAAAAAAGACTGATAAATTTAGATCTCAAATTAATAAATACATAGTGGCATTTTAATTGAAATAATAACAATCATAAACAAGTATCAAATCAAAAATAATTAACTAACATTGAGTTAAATGTATGGGTTGATTTGATGAAACATTATGATCAAGCGATTCATTTCTTAATCCTTGAAATCCACTACAATCTGTTTTACTGAAACTATCTGATGAAATTTGTTCACTCTGTATTGCATATTTCTGTTGTGGAATTGCTAGGAGTTGAGCGACTTTGTCTGAATCACGTCTGATTTTTAAGTCCTTGATCATTTGTTTATACTGATAAAATTCACTATTGTTATTATTTGGCCAATGACTATTGACCATATTGAAATCCGATTGACATAATTCTAAAAGTTTACATATTTCTAAATGTCCTGCTTTAAGTGCAACACGATATGGTGTACGGCCATGAGAATCAGTTTGTGATGGATTAGCATTAGCCTGACAGAAACAAGAAACACATATAAAATTACGGATACTAACTAAAGATAAAAATGTATACGACTCTTTGTTTTGAAAATACAGTTTAACTACTGACACGATATGAGTAGTCAATGTTAAAATTAGCGTAATACTTCAATGTTGGCATATAACTTATCAGATTCGAAGGCTACGCAAATTTATTTTCATGATTGCAGGTAATGATACTAGTTTTTCCATATTCATAAGTTCTATTCGGAGGTTATGCTATTCACAGACAATAAAGTATATTCACATATTTTGAATTGATCATGAATTTTTAGAAACGTCTTAGGATATGAAAATCACTAGTAAAGTTATGCAAATAAAATTGAATTATTAGTTCTTCGTTTTCACGTATTCGGTGGCAAAACGTAAACAATCAATTTAACTAGTTTAGAATAACAGCTTAAGGTTAGGATACTACATTGAGAAGCTGTAACTTGTATAGTTAATAATATCAGAGCAGAGAAAGTAATCCATCGATGACATCCGACGAGTGACATATCATAACGATGTGATGAACGCACTTAAAATTACTTTGGTAATATATTTTTTGAGCAAAGTTAAGTTACTCTTCTCACAGAAACTTTCATGAAACTGCTATTCTTATGATTAAATTAGCCTTTTAAATAAATAATTCTTCATAAGATATCAGTGTATTTATATTGCAGTACATAACAACAGAAAACATCTACCTGGAGTAATACTTTACAAACATCTAAATGACCTTCTTGTGCAGCAATGCATAAAGCTGTTGCACCTTGACTACAGACTGCATCCACTCGAGCATTTCCTTCATTCAGTAGTATATGACATATTTCAGCATGGCCTTGCCATGCAGCAAGTTGCAAAGGTGTTCTACCTTCACGATCACGAATATCAACTGGTGTTCCGGCCTGAGAAAATGCATTGTAATATTAAAAAGACTGATGAATAAATGAAAATATATAAAGTAGTCCATATATATTAAAAAAATTAAACAGTAGTAGTAGTTTTTCCAAGGAATGATTTTTATGCTGAAAAATAATATGTTACTGATATATATGTTAGACACTATGAACTAGTAATTGCAGTTTTGTCAAAAAAATAACTCATCATGATAAAATCGTCTGTTAAACTTTATCACAAAGCGATAGTGCATTGACAATATGAAGTTAGGAAATCATAAAATCATGTAAATTTCATTACACATGGCTTGGTAGCACGTCCCAATGACTTAAAATTAAGTTATTCACTTTATTTATTGTTATTTGAATATTCTGACTCACTCCATAATCTTATCTTTAAATTTATGGTAATTATATGTTTTGAAAATATTAAATACAAAATTTATGTCTCTTTACAGGTATGGGCGGCTTGATATACATAGAAATGTATAGGACAGATATGTCATATGAGATTGTTTGAAGTATCCTGGTTAAAAAATGTTTTAGAAAGCACTTTTTCTCATGAACTACAGTAATGTAAGGCGTTATTTAGGAACTAATCATGGTTTTTAATCAGATATCGTGTTGCAGTGTGAATGGTGCACTTATTGTCGTTTCCAATGCCTAGACGGATAGGTTGTAACTGTCTACCACAGAACCAGGAAATCAACAGCTATTACAATAAGTTAGTAAGATGTACCATTAAACAAGTAAAAGATTATTTTATGATTAGTAGTTCGGGTTAGATACCAATCAAATTAGTTAAATTTACAGAGGATGATGTTTGTGTAAAGTATCTTCCAGTAAGGAAGTTAATTAGTAGGCTCAGAAATAAGAACAATTAAACATTCACACAGTGAAGATTTAGGATGAAAGGTTTCACTAATGAAAGAGAGTTACGAAAGCTGTAACTAAGAGTTTCTGCATATCGAATTGCTTCACCAGATGTGAAAGATGGCTTATGAAGTATTTTCAAGAAAAGATCACATTCACTTTAAATTTCTTCTTTCATTAAGGGTCAGGCCCAAGTTTACTCCATCTATATTTAGAATTTAAAATACAGTCAGTACCAAGAATGCGAAGTGTAAATCATCTCTAAAAGGATTCCAGCCTTAATATACCTTTTATGCGAACACTTCCAAGAACAAATTTGTAGTACGTGTAGTACCAATTATGCAACCTAGAAGACTTCGAGGTCTGTTTAGATACCTATTCTGAGAACAAACTATGAGAGTACTTGAGTTCTATTTCGTCTCGAAGACTAATGAAAGAATTAAGCTGGACAAACAAAGGGTTTCTGATCCAGTGGGATGGTAGTTTATTGATAAGCAACTGATGGTTAACTATATTGGATGTCTTAGTCTTAGTACTATACTTTAGCTTATCTAAGTGTCCTCGGTTGTACTGAGTAAACGTTAAGTTGAAAAAGTCAAAGTGGCATGTCATACGAGATCGATTTTTAAGGAAGCCATTTTCGGAAACAGTAGTAAGTTTCTCAGTGAGTAAATAATTGGGAAGTTCGTTACCAACAATTTTTCTCATCATCCGAGACAGAACTGGACTAATATTTATGGGCCGATAGTTGTTCAAAACGGTCTTATCTTCAGATTTGTATTGTGGTATGATATGTGAAGTTTTCCAACAGTAAGTGTAAGTATTGATCTCCAGAAAGAGTTATGGGATATTAGACCCACTATGTTTGCAAGGAATTAATGAAATCCTGTCTAATCCATGAATGTTTGAGACCTTATGGGAGTTAATAGCTTTACCGGATTTTAGATTAGTAGAAGAAATAGTTTGTATGGAGGAACTAGTCACAAACATGATTTTCTAACAAATGCCCTTTAGGAACTTGTTGTTGTTCGCCAAAATTTCTACCAAAAAGATTTTTAATGGTTTTAGAGTTGTATACAAGGTTAAGTGAAAAGAAGTATTATGTTTCGTACTTCGAAGCTGTTGTTAATTGCTACTATCTCTTCATTAATCGCTTTTAATCAATGCTTTTCTTTAATTTGGTTAAACGTTATGGTTGTTTGTGGGGTTGCTCTGAAGTGACATGACTTAAAGCAACGTTTCTACAGGCATCTTAATTTTTTACGATATTCAACTGATATTAATAACTTTTTAAGTTTACCAATCCTGTATGTTTTAAGAGGTGCACAGGAATGTAAATATAAGTTGGTAGTCTGATAGAATGCATCAATTGCATCCACAAGAAGATATTTCAGTTAGAGGATCATATCACCTTATGCGGGAGATCTCAGTCAGAGTATTTGTAATCTCTGTATTGACTGGTTTCCTGTGTAGGATGGTTATATGTATTGCGGGGTAACTGAAATCTTCTGTAATGACCTTTACATTGAAATTCAGAGCGTATTCAAGTATGAATGCATTAATAGTTTCTTATTTATAAATGCACGATAGTTGATGACTAGCCTTTTCAAGATCTGTCAATATCTTAAACAAATACTGACTAACATCGATAACAGGTATTGGAAAGTTGTTTGAGATGTCATGATTTTTCTAATAATTTCTCTAATTATAAAATGTTCAAGTGCCTAGTATATGTATGAAATTTAAAAGAGAAGAGATGACAGATGATCATTCATTCTGACCTATAAAATCATTTTGTATATGAGTACTACACTTGAAGAAATACAATGGTCAAATATGTACTTATTATTTATGAAAAATGTTTCATACACAGTAAAGAAACTAGTCTATTGTTTTGAAAAAGCACTGGCGTCAAAAGAAAAACGTTATACATATTAAGAACACTTTTTCATAGAAGGAAAACACATAAGCAACATAGATAGTTCACAATTTTAGCCATATTGTACAATTACCGATTTTTTAATTAAAAAAGATGAAATCAGAATCAAAACTAACAAATGAAATTTATTATGTAAAACAAGAAAGATTGATTTAGCGAAGAGTTCTCTTTTCGGCAAATTCATTCTCGAAGATATACAATTGGAAATATATTATTTTTTTCTAACCTCTATCTAGTTTACCTCGCTATAACCATGTTTAACGAAATGCTTATTATCACTATTATTGTATCACCATGGAAAAAAAGTATGTAATTGCGATTGAATAGCTTTATAAATAAATTTACCAAAAAGAGAACTCGTTGCCGAATCCATCTTTCTTGTTTTATGTTTTGATAGGCATATTCCATTAACTTGAAATTTATTTCACTGTGCATTATGATATTGTATGTAAATTCAAATGTTCTAGTTGGTCAGTAGAGATTGGTTATCTGTATGTTATGAAATCTGGTATCAGATGAATCAAACTACAGCTAAAACATATTGACTGTAGTCATCGTTTTTGCTTGAAAACCTTGAAAACTATTTTAATGTAAACTTCTTAGCAGACTTTGATTATTTCGATTGTAATTTTTTGTTCGTATGTCAGATAAGCTATAGAGAACTGCTGACTGGGTTCACCTTCCGGGATATGAGCAATATCATCTAAACATTTTAAAATCATTTGATTTAGCTGACATTGACTCTTGAAGGATCATTCGATAACCAAACATCTTGACAGACTGTATAACTCTTGTTATGATGCGTGTTCGATTAAATTGGAAATTTAATACTATATAGATCAATTTAAGCAAAACGTATCCAGATACACTTTCTTACCTGTAACAATATACGAATAAAATCAACATTTCCAAGCCATGTAACTACATGAAGTGGGAAACGTCCTTCATCATCTGATAGAACAGGATTCGCTCCAATTAATCGACTTGATCCTGGACGTGATGATGCACCAGGAGCTGGACAGTGTAAAAGTAAGTCAGCCATATCAAGTTGACCTTCTAAAGCTAACATGTAAAGGGTAGTTCGGCCATAAGCATCCTTTAAATAAGAGACATTGAGTGATTTTATAATAGATGTAATAAATTTTTAAGTTGTTTTCTTTATATAGAAGTAGTTTTAGAATGACAGAATACGCAAACTATTTGAAGATTTACGGAAAATAACTGAAACAATGCGTATTTTAAGTGATAAGTGACGATATATATATATATATATATATATATATATATATATATAAATTTATTGAATGGGTTATGAACAGGTTCATAAACTCTCACTCTCGGTCGTATCTTACTTTCAAATATTTAATGAGATGAAAGGAAACAGTCAATGATTTATTTTCTGTTACATAATCACCTGGTAGTCCTTAATTTATGACAGCAACTAATTAGTTTTTCATTTGCAGAAAAACTTACACTTTAAACAGTACAGCCGACGATTCATAATTAGACTGGAAATGGGAGTTATTTATTTTCAATCTTATATTATTACATCATAAATTCGAAATAAATTAGCAACTTGTAAATCACAACTATCATTATTAATTGTTGTCAATTAAAAATATTTATTTCAAAGACTCGCTTACAATTTCATTGATGATAAATATAAAAACCAAAATATAATACTTAAGTGATGAATGTAATTAGATTTAGTTGAATTTATTAGAGTATTGGGGGATCAATTTACTCATCAGATTGACTTTAAATTAACATATTTATAGTTTATAGCACTAGTATATTATTCTTATGCAAGGTTTAGATTGTTTTGAAATGGTCCACAATAAATCTTCACTACAAATGAATGAGATTCTTCTACTTTAAACGAGACCTAATGTGGATTGGATAAACCAAACGAAAGGCATCCAACACTTCAATAATAATAATAATAATAATAATCACACTCATTTCGATGAAAAGCAAGAAGATATTCAAAAATAGTTACCAAATACAACTAGTTTTTTTTACATAAAGTGATAAAACGTGACCCTGGAAATTAGTAAAATTAACCAACCAACATTGAATACAGGCGTGGAAACACAAATTAGATAAACCTTATGAAATTCGTTCTTTCACTAAAGAACTAACATTTATTAACAACAAATTCATTTACTCAAATTTAATTGATCAATCATTAGATCGAAATCTTTTACACAAAAGATCATCAATTATAACTTATGTTCGTTTCGAAATATCTTGCTGTTAAAACTTAACACTCACGGAATATTGCTTGAAAAAGACTTCCTTTAGAACTTGCTACAGTACTAGTTATGAAACGTTTTAATAACCGGTACAAAGTTTACATAATAATTTGTTTTGTTGTAACTAAATAATTAATCCAACAAAACACAGTAGATGATAAAAGTGTCCTGACCGATAAACTACTCTTGAAATGAATCCCCGTCTTAGACAGTAACCTTTATACCATTTAGTTAGAATCCGATAATTTGTATTTCTAACCGCAGTTCGTTCACAACCTCGTGTAACCACCGTTTTTCGACACAAGTGATAACTATTAACCTCTGTTAAATTTTTCAGTAGTTGCCCAATTAATGCCAGTCTATAATGTAAATTCAGCAATCTTCAAACCCTCCTATACTTATTGAATACAGACATAAAAAGTCCTATTTTGAATTTTAAAAGAGATGTAAACTCCCGTCAAGTACTGAGAAATAAAACAATAGTTCTGAAACCCACTAACAACTGGACATGTGTAACTCAGGATTAATGTAAGTCAAGTGCAGGTTCGCGTACTCGAATTCCAAATACATTGCATGAATATTCTGGAAAATTACTCAAGTTGATCTGGAAGAATAGGAGCATAGTTCACATCTACAATCTTCTAAGAAAATCGAATAGAGTAACCTCCATCCTACCTTACCTGTATATCATTCAAGCAATATCAGTAAGTAAATGTGATTTCTGTGGGGAACAAGTGATGTACATTATTTTAACCATCTCCAAATATCTTTTATATTAAAAACTAAGGCTTATGACTAGTTTGTTTCAGGGTAATAAGATGTCATCGCGAGAGGTTGGCAAGTAAACGATACACAACTTAATAAATCTATGACACAATAACTTAGAAAACAGTAAGAATTACTTGATGATCTGGATCGGCTCCATAAGCAAGCAATAACTTTACCATTTCATGATTATTATGAAATGCTGCAGATCGTAAAGGCGTTTGACCATCGTAAGATGCAATATTAATACAAGGATTAACCGAATGTGATAAATGCCCATGTGAAGGGGTTAGATTTAGTTGTTGTCGTGATCCAGACGAACCAGAATGAGTCGGACTTCTACAAGTTGACGGATCATTTGTTGGGTAATTTAGGAGAACTTGCACAGCTTTCATATTGTTTGCTTGACAAGCCATAAGTAAAGGTGTACGACCAGCATTATCGGTTTCTTCCAAATTTGCTCCAGCATCTAGTAACAGACTGTAAAGAAAGAATAATATGATGTAATAAATATCAGCAATTTAAATTTATGACCTTGAAAAATTTAACATGTATGAAAAATTTTCGTTCTTACAAAGATCACTAAATGCATATTGAAAATACTCTCCAATCTAAACTGGAAGTTTCAGCGACTAAATAAAACCACCGTATGAAACTTTAACATGCACAAAAGTCTTAGACTATCTGTTATGCAAATGATTGGACAATTTAATTACGAACAATTTTCACGTCTTTTACATTTTGTATTTTTAAGGGAAGTGTACAAACAACTATGGTGAATTTCATTATTTTCTATATCTTTAGCAAGTCCTTGCTTAATCTATAGAAGTATAAACAGCCATATAAAAAAGCAACTCGATAATGACTATCTTATTAATGGAATTATGAAAAAAACTACTTACTTTATCCTTATTAGAACAACGGATATTTTTATCAGTTTATAAGCATGAGAATGACATAAAGGAGAATCATGATGTGTTTTTTAGTAAAACCATTAACTAAACCAATATATATATATATATATATATATCATCAATTTAAACAAATATAAATACTAAGCAGCACTGACCGAATCACATCCTCACAGAAATCATTTTGATTATTTAAATTCTCTCTACATAATTCATTGTCAATCAAATTTTCCACAGCTAAATGTAATGGTGTACAACCTGAATGATCTTTGTGTGCTTCATCTAAACCACGAGCAAGTAATTCTTGTACAATTTGTGCATTTCTAATTTGTGCTGCTATACTTAATAATGATCGTCCAGCATGATCCATAATGTCAACTGCAGCACCCCAAAACAATAATAAACGTACTACATCAGTATGACCGCCTATAACGGCTAACATAACAGGTGTACGTCCAGATCTAAAATGATTCATTGAAAAAAAAGAAAAGAGTAAGAGGTAAATTGACTAAGCAAATATTTCATTAAACTTAACACGCACAGTGATTAAATAATAACAGTGTTTATAAGTATAAATTAGTTTGTATAAGATAATTTGCTTGTATCTAAACTTGAAATGCAACATAGCCGTTCAAATCCCTACACAAACAATGCAACACAAAGACAAGATTATGTGACAGTTATTAAACAAAATTAAATCTCTATGAAAAAATATTCATCTATTAAAAATTTTGTCTTTTTTTTGCATTCAATAAAAAATATATGCAAATTCAGTAAAAAAAATTTACTTACATCATTTATAGTTTGACTATTGCAAAAATATAAAGCCATCAGTCGTGTAGAATAAAACTTGTAAAACTAAAAAAACTTAGTCACTTAACTTAAATTTGTCACAAATCCATTGCTTGAAATGATTTTATTACGCTGTACAAATAAATTGCAATTACCTTATATATTAGATATAATGATATAAATCTGTCTACTGTAAAAAATTTTACTTGACTGCAAAGCCATAAGTCATATTTTATGAATAGAAAAAAAAATAACAAAATATAAAATGTTTTTTTCTGTCGAAACGAAACATTTCTACACTGTAGTAGTATATTTTTTTGAATATAAACAAAAACTGAAACGAATTATGGAAGTCATTGCACATTTAAAAAGGAAAATATTGACTTCTTTTTAGTGATTTACAGTTTGCTTTCTTTACATTGAATCATTACCAGTACAGTTTGTTTTATTGTTTACTATCGAGAGAATCAGAATTATTTATTCTATCTGCAATAACTAAGCTTTTACATGCAATAATGTGGCTTAATGAGAAATATTCAGGAGTTTCACATGCATTATCATTGATCGTTTACACCGCTTCTTCTGTTGGCAAGTATAATTTTGTAATGGCAAAATAACATTCCAATATGTTTATTTTGTTATGCAGCAAAGAATTAAACAATGCGGAAACAGAAACAAATAGAGTTTATTTTGTAAAACATTAACATTCAGTCGAAAATGATCACTATTTACAATAAAAAACTCGAAGGTAATAAAAGTTACAATAAACAACTCCGATAAATTGCAAATAGAAAAAAAAACCTTATCATAAAATTCAAATTCACTAAACAAATTTTAATAGGTTCTGGTCATTGTCGTTCATTCGAACATTTGTTTAAGGAAGCTCTATGATTGAGAATTAAACAATACCATATGGTATACACAGATAAGTGCAATAGTTCAAGTAAACAAATGAGTCATTAAAAATCATTAAAGTATGAAACAGTTAATGTCATGATAAATTTTTTTAGCACAAAACAAAACGTCGCTCTGTTTACTACAACTACAAGATGAACATTTTCTGTATGGAGGGGAAAACCTAATATGTTATAAATCGATAATAAAAGAAGAAAAATGCAACTGATCTACGCTACATGGGTAAGTACTTTTGATCAGTCTTATATAAAGTGTTTATTACTCCTTGAATGGTATTTGTTGGTTAGTTAATGTCAGTTCTTGATGTGTACTACAAATATTAATAAATATGTGACTAGAAATTTGCTTCGTGTTAAGTAATATTTACCAAATGACAATTCTCGGAATTGTACAAGCATAATAACTTTGAATTTAAGTTTAAACTTACAATATTGTTACACAAAATGGTATAAACAAACTTTTTTTCTAAATACACTTACTTATCAGCCATATTCACATCTGCATCGGATTCAAGGCATAATTCACAAACTAGATAATTACCACTGCTGGATGCACCAAGTAACGGTGTAATACCTTCATTATCTGATAAATTAGGATTTGCTCCATGATTTAACAAACAAGCAACAATATCTGTATGTCCAGTGGATTTTTGTACACAGAACGCTGCAACATGCAGTGCAGTGCGACCATCTGAATCGGAATGATTCACATCAGCACCTTGATTGTAGAAATGCAAACAGAAGATGAAATAAAATTTTCGAATATGCAAGATCGTAGCGATAAAGAAGATCGTTTCATAGAGAAATTATATAAATAATTTGTGAATTATCTAATACATAAAATATAGTTTGAGTAAACGATTCACCTGATAAATAAATAAAGTTAGTTCATTTGACTGATTCATCAAATGTTTGCAATCTTCAGTTTGACTTGTTCATTTTATATAATTGTTACTTTTTTTTATTATTCAACAGAAAATGTTTGATCTTTTCGGAAGTAGTAAATTCGTAAATTCAAATAAATTTCATACATTTTGTTCACTTTATGAATTTGTCTATGATCAATTAGGTTCTTTAATAGAAGTTGGTTACGAATAAATTTACTAAAGATCTTTGTTTAATTTCGGTTGCATACATTAAAAGGAAAGCAATTAATACGCTAGTATTCTAAAGAAATTTCTTAATTATACTCAATAAATTAAATAAATGATTGTTTTAACCTGAATAATATATATATATATATATATATATATATATATATATATACACTATTTATAGTATTTTACACATTTGAAATCATCAATCAATCATTGTTAGAGTTAGACATTAACACTGTTGGATGCCAGCCCAGTGGTCCGGTGGTTAGGCGTTCGCACACAATACCGAAGGTCCCGGTTTTGAATCCTGTGAGGTGCAGGAGTCGTGGATGCGCACTGCTGATGAGTCCCTTACTAGGACTAAACGGCCGTCCAGAGCTTCCAGGTTTCTAATGGTGGTCTAACAATGATTGATTTATGATTTCAAATGTGTAAAAAACAAATCTCCAAAACTCTAACTGAAAATATGGTATTGTAGCATACAATTTATTTTGTGTACATATAAATTAATGACTTGTAGATCAATTGCAATACATGTATAAAATAATATCAGTCAAATTTCTTTTTTTGATAAATGTATTTTTCTTGGAAAACACAATCAAGAAAATATGGTTTGGTATCAGTGAATACTTGATTTCTGAAAAAAGGAATATTATGTTTTAACTTAACGGTTATGATAATGGATTCTCATTACTTGATGCTTATGAAATGGGATTGTATGTGACAATCACAAAAATAATAATAGTCGATATTAAAACATTCAATTCATACTAGAACAAACTAAAACTTCGTTCTATACTAATTTTCATTGATCAACTAGTCGATATCAATTCGTAATGACAAACATCACTGTGTGTGATACTACAGCTTGTATTCTTTGAATAAAATTCCATTTTGTACAAAGTAACAATTGTTGAAGTTATTTTCTGTAGACAAAACAATGAATCAATAAATAATCTTTTTTGCATGAGTGAAACACTTAGGAAATCAATTTTTCTGATTGTTTTAAATTCTTTTTTTCTTTAAATAACAGAGGTAATGAAGAGTGTTTATTTATACATAACTTATCCTGTAACTTAGACAATTACTACTACTAACCAACCATCTAATCTTAAATGTATAAATGTTTTATGCATAAACAGTGTTCACAAAAGTTAACAATGTATCTAAATACTTTATTTAATAAATTCATGTGATATAATTTTAACGTATGTTCCAGTCAAATAAATCACATAATAGTAATAATTATTATTGACCTGGATAAAGAAAGAACAAATATCGCAACAGAATAATATGAATTTATTTATTTACTGGGATCTCTTCATCTTCATCTTCATCTCAACATAAGTCAATGTATTCATGATTAAAATGAAAAGGTATACATACTCTATATCAGAAACTTATGGAGCAAATTAAGTTAATATGTAGAGTTAGATCAATACTAAGTGATGAAGACTTAATATTATTCAAATATTTACTCAGAAATGCAATTAGGATACTAGAAATTGTAATTAACGTTTATGGGAAAAAGCCTAACGGATTAACCTCTCAAAATAAGCCCACTGGTGCAAACCAAGATCGATAACTGTTTCTTTCGAATATATAAACTAGGATTTAAGTCTTTTTATTGCCACAGCTTCGGGAAAACCGTAACACTTTCTGAGTTATTTGTTTGTTATTCATTTTGAAACATTTCGAAACTTCAATATCATAACCACTGTCATGCAAAAGATTGAAGATAGTACTATTGAAAACCTTCTGTTTCTTTAATCCAAACTGTTGTGAAATATGTTCGAAAATGCGGACACAAACCTTCGTCTCACATACACATAAACTAGTAAACACAATTGGAGGTAACATAAAGTGATTATTTGTTCACATCTGTTTATTCTAATCAGTATCTGATTTGGTATAGAGACACCAACTTTAGTCTCTGGAGACACCCATTTTAGCACTGCCTTTTGACTTAAATTAATCCTCCCAGCAATTTCATCGTCTTTGAAACTGAGCTTTAAGGTGATATGCTTTTATTCAACCGTACGGTCTTTCATTTACTTCATATACTTATCCCATTTTCCTTTGGGAGTTTTGTGGATAACCATTTTCACGTAAGTAACATTCAACTACGGCTAATTCTCCCTCAATTCTATTCGCAAAATATAATCTATGTACAAGGTTGAAGAGCGTGCTAACTAAAGCTCTTTTGTAGCTTATTTGACAGAAGCTATGGAACTTCAAGTGTAGCTCACTTCCCGTTTCATTTTGATGAATACATCTTTTCAACCGCACAATTGCTGCATCTAAGGAAACTCCAGGAAATCAATGAATGCATTTTATTCTATTACAATATTTGTTCCCGTTTTATTCAGGTTTATAAGTGAAGAAAATCATAAGAAATTAATATACAGTTGTATTTGGTCGCCGAAATTAGCTGACAGAGATTCATAGACTTCGGGTTCGAACCATTTAGCACTTCTTAACAAGGTAGATGTGTTCTCAAGGAAACTAAAACCTCCAAGTGGGTTCAATGGGCGTCGCTTAAATACAAAAGTCCATCTTGATAACAAAACGCAATAGATTGAAACCTAAGTCCAATGTTTCTTGCTGACAATTCTCAACAGCCTAACATCTTAAGAAACCACGTATCGAGTCCTTCAGAATAATGGCCACATTGCAACTCGATCAACAGCTCTTGTACTATTATGAACATAAAATATATGCATAGGCAGATAGAAGAATAGTAATCTTCTTCTTTCTATGCTTTAATACAAGTAAAGTTGAAAATTGCTGGTTGTTTTGTCTAACCTATTCCAATCTTTGTCTATTAATTGATTACTAAGTAATTTACTATGATATTGTTTTGAATAAATAAAATTTTTGTTTATGAACAGTAAATTCAGATTTCTAGATAACTGATTTCATCTGTTAAAATTCAGTTAATTATATATCCAGGAAGTGACTCTGTGAATTAACTGATAAATCTGACTTATTTAATTATTTCTTCAGTGATCTATCAAATCATAACATGCATCTGTTAATTGTTTCTTATCTTCAGTCGTTAGACAAATTCAAATAGTAAAATAGTAAGTCCGGTAAGTCTTTTACAAAGCTGTTAAATCGATTTGCCGGAAAAACATTTGTAATATATGATTAGGGTTCCGAAAAGAATAAGTCACTCAGTATTTATATATTAGGCATATCGTAATTATCGAATGTTGTACCAGTGCCTCTACGGTTAATGTCTGACCCAATCAGTTAGTCGGTTACGTAGAACTTCGTACGTAAGTACATCGGTTCACGTTGCCATAACACATTTGCACAGAGACTCAATTGTCAAGTCACGTACCATAGTAATAGAGGTAGCAGAAGTATTAACAGTAATCAAACAGATGAACGATCGAATATATCACTCGGGATGTATACCCCAGAGGAATCAGTTTAATAGAGAAAAAACGGTCATGAGGAACTCAGAAGATTTGAATTTGAGAGAACACAAAGAGTGGATTCACCTGCGCAACTGCAAAAGATCTTGAGCCATGTCGTTCAAGGTCTCTACACATCGGTTACTATTGTCTAGCGGACTCCAACCAGGTAGTATACACTTACCAACATGACTCACTCCACTTGTCAGTGACTTTAGAGATGTGTGCCATGTTTTAGTTTGACCGCCCCTAGCTTTCCTCCAGTTTACCACCTCTACACCGCAAAACCTAGCCCGACGAGGCTGTCGGTGCTTGAACATTTTTAACATATGCCCCAACCACCTTAAATGATGAAGTTTCATTACTTCATCCATTGATTTGCCTACTTTACCTAGTACCCGTTTCCTAACAAATGCATTGCTTACTCGATAGACATAAGATAAACGAGCAATGTTTCGAAAAATGATCAATGCTTCGTATCTGTCCCAAACTGAGGAGAAGAGAAAGTTTTGGGTAGCGTTGTCAATCTTAACTACTAAAAAAGTCAAGCGTTGCTAACTCCAACCACAGTAATTCAACTATATTTAGACGGAAAAACTAGCTTCAGGAAAAATGTTATTTTATTCTTATCAAGAAGAAGAAAATGCTCTTTAGACATATAAGGAGTTACACCGATACAGTCCAAAGAAGCACGAAAAGCGCATATATGATGGTAAACTCAAGTCCACAGGCTCATCAAGACATCTGTCAAATCACAGAATGAATGTTATCCAGTGGTATGCAACCACTAACCATAATAGCAAAGTTTATAAAGACCAGATTCATGGGAAGCTACAGTTCATTTTAGAAAAATGTCAATTAAAAGTTGAGCAAAACTGATGAGGGATCTAAACGCGAAGCTTGCAGTAGACAGAACTGGGTACAAACGCCTCATAGGTTGACATGAACTGAAGGAAATCGACGATAACTGTTAATCTGTGATGATTAGCGGACGCTTTTACCCTACATATGCATACACAAAGCTAAATGAGTTTCAAAAAATTACGTTACGAAAAACCAGATAGATCACATTTGTAACGAATAATCCAGAAGGATGATACGAGGAGTAATAACGAAACTAGAGGAGATTGTACAGCTTCAGACGACTACCTAGGGTTTTCAAGCGAAAACTGAAGCTGATTAAACAGGCAGTACTACACAGTTTTAGGTTGGTCTGGAGATGCCAACGAGCTTGCTTAGTTCAGAAAAACTCTCAGAAACAGGTTTAAATCCAAAGGAATCTACCAGCAGAAGAAACCATTATGAACGGCAACTGAAGAAACAATAACTCCGGCATGCTAGAAGCTGCTGAGCCCTACAAACACCATGATAAAGAACGGATCTTTGTGTACTATCTAGACAGGATTCAAGGAAGAGTCAAAAAATGTCAGCTAAAAGCAACCAAACAAGAGCAGAGAAAGGCGAGGCATTGGTTAAATGTACAGAAGCCAACAAACAAGTGGAAGAAGACATCAGAGTTGACAAGGACATTCGTCACAAGAACTGTGATATAATGTGAAATACCAATTGAGAAATACTAGTTCACAGTAGAAGGAGTCAAACGTCCTGTTTAGGAATAAATAGCGTATCAAACGGCAATACCAGTATTGTTTAAGATTAATTATAATCATCTACAGTTAGGGGGAAGTGAAAAGAGAGTGATCATAACAACAGTGGCAAGATTTGTTATGATGGGTCAGCTGTTATATATGTGCTGCTTTGTTTCGTGTGCTACTACTTTAGAAGGTGTTGTTTAGAGTCACCAGACTAACCACGGATAGTGTAAATGTGAAATATCTGCAAGTTTCACAGCACTTTGGATGGTTAAGAAGGAAATAATGATATATTGGTAATATCCTAATAAGTATAAGCTTGAATTTCTGAAGTCTTGTGATTTGATGTAAACCACTGCTTTAGAATAGAAAAAAACTAAAGATTATTGTTATACGATCAAATGCATGGAGCTTACCACAGAGCATGGAAATCCTTGATCATGAAAAGGTGGTCGACATCGTGAGAGCAACAGAAGGAATTAAATATTCAGGAGACGACCAACTCAGATATTAGCAAGCCGGCACTGAATAGCGCCCAAGCTTATAGAACTACTACAAATATGATCAATAAAGTACAGTTATTTATCAACGACTATCTACGCAAGATACTATAGACCGACCAGAAATTAGTGGCAGAAAACAAACTACCTGCTAGCTGAGTATAAAATTAATAAGAAATACCGGAGGTCGATAATACATATCATGCAGATACCACTAAACTTCATCACAAGGCGTATATATGTGCATTTACTGATATAATCACTTTAAACAATGTTTAAATATAGATTCAGATCGTGCGAACCAATGACCGTATCATTAATGATTACTTTTATTTCCCCTTCCTTTTATTTAAATCGATTTGGCGAACATACACATGTATTTGTGACGTACATATGCACGTATATATATATATATATATATATATATATATATATATAAAGTAAAACGCACCTTGTGATAGATGCTTTGTTTGACAGTCTGTGTGCATTTTGGACGAAACAAAGTGGCAATGATTTTAAGACTGTAACTAATGACAATAAAATCAGAATGATGTTCATCACATCATATATCAAAGTAAGTAAAAAAAATCATAATAACCTTGTTTCGATTTGTTTTCAGTTGAACTAAATCACCATTGACACAAATAGAACTTATTTTATTCTTACATATTGTGTTGTGGATGGTTAAAATAAAGCGCCAGGAAGCACCAAAACAATTGGATTTATGAAAATTCAAATTCGTATCACTCAGAATCATCAACAAAATAAACCAAAAAAGATAATAATATAATTGACAGTATGCAACATGAACCACTACTATTGATTAGTGCAACATTCAAATTCTAAAAACAAATATCATTTTTATATGCAAATAATTAATTTAAAATTATCAATACATAAAAAAATAAGTTTCTTAGCATTTGAAGACATTATTTATGCATAAATATAATGATAACATTAATAGGGTCATTGTTTAAATGAAAATGCAACGTTTACAATCAGGGCATATTTAGGTGTGAAGAAATAATTAAGATTTAAATAGATGAACTAAAATGAACAATAATGTAATTTGTAAAGTGATTTTAAATGGTGCCATGATAATAATAAAACTGATAATATAAAACTGTTCGTATACTTAGATGCTTTAACACATTAACGTTCATAAATTAAATTTCAAAAATAGTAGTAAACTCAATATTTAAAAGCAGATGAACATTAGAACCAGTTATCTTACAACGATTCGTTTTGAGCTCTATTATTCAAGGTCTTGTCTGTAACTAGCAACAATTATTGTAACATGAAACCAATCAATGGATGTATAGTTTTCAGCACGATCCAGTCTAACGGTGTACAATTTCACTTACTGATTCCATTTAGTTAGATACAGCCTTTTATCAGACAAATCACTGTTTTACAACACAAAAGACTATAGCCAGTCATTCGTGATACATTTTAAGTATTTCATTTGACGAACGTTCACAGCGTAGCTGTTAAAATTATGACATGATAAAATTCATAAAAGTACTTTGACATATGACATTCGCCCTAAAACATATATATATATATATATATATATATATATATACATAAACAACAACTCACCAGCTTTGAGTAAAACTTCTAAAACATCCGTGTGTCCCATGTAAGCTGCAGCAATCAATGCAGTACGTTTTTCAGAATCTGACTTATTAACATTAGCACCGGCATTAAGTAGACATTTGACGGTTTCCAAATTTCCAGCCCATGCAGCCGCGCGTAATGCAGTCCTTCCATCTGGTCCACATAGATTTACATCAGCCCCATAATATATTAACAATTCCACTATATCTGTAAATATTTTTTTAAAAAAAAGTTATAGCATTTAAAGAGACTAGTGTAAATAACTTTCGGAGAAGAAATATGATTTTCCTGTTTTTAAAACGAATTTCATCTGGTTTGTAAAACATGTTCTCTTTGTACCAAACCATTCATACTTAGGATTTCAGTGAAATGTTACGAATTAAATAGAAAAATGTATCAATTACTTTTAAAGCACATAAGGAAACTATGACAAATAGTCTTAAGCAGGAGAAAATAATGTTCTATGTAGGAAATAATTATCAAGAAAGAAAGATGTTGAGAATAATTTATGAATACATTCATTCATTAGAAACAAGTAATCTTGCAAAACATATATGGACTTCGTGTGTACTTCCTTCCTTGTGAATAATATATTCCTTCTATAAATATTGTGTTGAATTATGAACAAAATTAAATGCCTCATAAAATTAAATCTACACTCTGAAAAGGGAAATTATTTTTGAAAGGTATAAACTTATTGTCCTTTTAATAATTCCATTTATTCTCCTGATACTTTATTCAACCACTTAATCTTAATTGAATTTTTAAACATTACATTCATATTATCTTTTGAAAAAATACTCATCTATATATCTTCTTACTATGTCTGGTTTTGCTGTAAAGTTAGAAATTTGTATTAAATAACACTAACGCTTTGATCTTCATTGACCACAAACGACTTATTTGAATTTATAAACATAAGAATGTAAAATAGAAATTTATTTCTAAACGGAATTTTCTCACTAAATAAAGATACCTTTAGTAGTTCACATGTGAATTACAGGAATAGTTGCTTTTTTTTGTCTTTCCTTACAATGATGATTAATTTCATACCTGACAGTTATATCACACATGTTTAGTGATAAAATTCAACATAATGTAAATAAATCATATACATAAGATTAAAACTAGTAGTTTAATCAGTTCGGAAAATGCAGTACATTTAGGGTGAAAAATGAAGAAATAAAGCTGAACACAATGCATGGATTTATTATACTTATATAATTAGATTTCACTATTTACACTGCTTAGTTTAAAGAGTTTATTTTGTTCAGCATATACTTTTCTAATAAATTGACCAGTCTAACTTTATCAAAATTTTCTGCAGTATAATGTGAACGTCTAATAATAAAGATAACTAACTTGTAATCAAAACATGTAAATGTGCAAAACACAGATCGTGATTGCTCTCTTGTAGAGAATCCTTTTTGTTGATGAAGTTCGTTCATTTGCGAAAAGCGAAAAATGTGTAATACTCATATGATTTTGAGATGATGTAGAATATTTGTAGCTCAAGATAAGGATTTTCAAAACAACTTGTTAGCAGAGGACAAGTAATATTCTTCATCATCTCGAACATGAAAGTACTGAGTACATATTCTGTACCAGTAAGCTTTTTCAGGTTAGTATTGGTCAAGAATTTTGAGTTAAAAAGATATCAGTGATCAGTCAACTGATCGCATAACATGGACCATACCCAAAACCTTCAATAAATAATCATCTCAGTTTATCTTACTTCAGCCATCATATCGCTTAATTAGGATTTGGAGAAATACTTTTGAAAGACAGTTATATTTACTATTTCGTATTTCGTGATTAGATAATTTAAATTCTAATTTTAACTTTTTTTCCCCTATAATATTAGTCCGTGATGAAAATAGTTTGCAAATTTAAAAAATTATCTACAAATTATTTGAGTACTTGAAGTGAAATAAAAAACATCTAAATCCATTTCCAACTTTGAAAAAAGTGTTGATTGAGTTGAATTTTATTACCAATCTAAAAAGAATAAACTCTATGAGTATCAAGATAAATTTTTTAATCAATCTAACAATAAGTTTTCTTAAATAGCGCACACTGATGAGATAGAATGATAAAGCTACTGAAGATAAAAAGAAATGAAACAGAAATAAAATGAAGTATAAAATGCAGTGCTTAAAATTAAGATATTAAATGTTTTTTAGCAATAAGCATTGTTATATTCACAACTGAATCTTTTCTAACCATACTTTGTATTTAAACAAATAGAAATCATAAACACTGTATTCGTTTTATGACTTCATCGAAAAGACAAAAACTTCATAGGTTTCCATCCTAATCTACAGTTTGATAAAATTTACTACATGATACGTTAAACGATTGACAATTACAAAAGATTCTGAGTGGTTAACTTATTCATTGTACTTTTTTTCAAAAGGCAATTCACTAATTGCTATAAATACTAAACAATTATTAGACTAAAATGACTGTTAGAAATTTAATCACTAAACATTTGTTGAATGTGGAAAGTTAAAAGAATAAGTAAATTACATCTAAGCATATGATTGAGCATTACATTAAAACGATAATCTCAGCACCTAAATTTATAGAAGAAATTAGATAGCTGATAAAATACTGAAATGACTAATGTTCTGAAATATCCTCAAATGACCGAAATGGAAATACCAAGTGAATAAGCTATGGGGAAATAAAACTAGGGAATTTCAACATAGCTCAACTTCTGCATTACTGATAATTTTCAAAGGTATTAACAGAAGAAGTAACCAAATAAAAAATAGGAATGCTTCTAATGAAAGACAAATTATTGTTTAGTTTGAACAGACTTAGGACAACATTATTTCATTGTTTGAATTTTAAAAGAATCATGTTAGACTAACTGACAGTATAATCAATGATCCGTAGACTCTATAATGTGACAGACAAATCACTTATCAGTTACTTTATTTCGGAATTTCCTAAAACCTAAATAAAACACTAAAGACGATAAACTTCCATACTACAATATCAATTGTGCATAAGTCTCAATAATATTTCGTATTCTTTTATCCAGTTACACTACAACTAAGGTGTCATAAAGTTTGATTAGATTAAAATCCAGAGAAAAAAATCAGTCGCGTTTCAAATACATGGATAAATTCACAACTAGGTTGTTGAAATTTTATCTCTAGAGAGTATCACTAGCATATTGACATACAACTGTGCAACTTTTCCGAAGAGAATACAAAAAAACTATTTTTATTAATTTCAGTATTAAATTAGATAAAGAATACTACTGAAACACTAAGGAGCTCCAGTCAAATGTTTTACTTCTGTAGGATTGCACTGTTCAGATATTTCGAACTCTAAAAATTAGCTAATAAATACGTCCTGATGTAGTTAATAAATCGAAAATCGATAAAACTACCAGTCAGTATTCAACTTATTCCTATAAACATTACTGCAAAAAGCTGATAAATTAGAGATACAATTTAAGTAAGCATGATAATGAAGAAATAAGATGGGAAATATTAACATCTTCAGTTGTAAATATCCCACTACTTATATCAGCTAGACAGATTGAATCGGTTGTATAATCGAAGCATTAAAGTTGCATTTAAGAACTGATTCCGAAACAATTTTCACACGACTATAAATATAAAACCAACGTTTTAAGTTCACTAAGACACACATTGTGTGTAATGAATTCTCTCTTTTCAGTCTTTCCTTAATGCTATATTTTCACATACAAAGAACTTTATTTTTATTACTGTCCATACTTTAACACGTTCATCTGCCGTCATATAAACACACACATCTATTCATTTTATCAATGAAATATGGTTAAATAAAAAAAAAAATGATGCATATGCAGTAAACCTAGAATTGACTTAATCATTAATTAGGGTTTAAAATAATAAACCCATATTTATTTGAACAATCCTAAAAGAAAATGAATAGTTACATGTATTTTCGTGTGTTTATAAATCAGTTATGTAAAATTATTTTAGTTATATACGTGTTTGGATTTTTGCCATCAGCATAATTCACCATATGTATGTTTAACATAAACATCAAGATATAAGATATTTTATGATCGATTAGTGTATATATTTAGATTGAATAATAAAGGTTAAATAAATTACTGTGTAGACCGTTATTAATAGCGATCAATTTATTCAAAATTGCATGATTTTTACGGAAGTTTGTAACGTCCGGTGGCTGAATGTAATTGATAGGAAACTGTGATCTTGCGTTTCTTGCATTTCGTTACCTTTCATCAAGGCATACTCATACTCTTGGAAGAACTGATGCCCCCTGATGAATTCGATCTCGTATCAACAAACTGTGATATTATTATAGAGCTGTTTTGGTCAACTAACCTTCTGTATCACTGATATTTACCACTGAGTGATCACTGAGTAGTGAATAATGTCATATTCACCTAGTATTTTGGTATTTATCGGACTCTATTGATCAATTTCAAATGAAGTTTACCTCCTTGCATAGCCTCTAACAGCTCAACATAGTGCATGTCATATTGATTCACTTAGAATAGTTTCGGTCAGCACTAAAATTACTAGACAAACTTGACATCGGTCAACCAATTGTATTAGTCTGTGAAATAATTTCCATTAATGCTTACACGTAATAAAAGTAAATGATCATTAGTTCACGCTGATGATTTTCTGAACAAGCCTACTTTATATTTTGATAAATTTCTCCAGTAATAACGTTTCATTTCATCAGTGTTAAAAGAATGACAGTCCGAGTGTTTACAATACAGAATCAGTCAGTCAGTCAGTTACAATGTAGAACTTCGTACGTAAGTACATCAGTTCATGTTGCCATATCATATTAGCACAGAGACGCAATTGTCAAATCAAATCTCATAGTGGTAAAGATAGTAGAAGAATTACTGCTAATGGAGAGGATTAGGATTTGAACATAATATTCAAGAAGTATAATTCACTGAGCAATAAAGAATACAATAAAATGCAGAATAGTAAATAGAACAACGATAGAGGTAATAATTAAAAAAATGTATTCAGTCAACAGTAGAAAACAGATATTTTCAATGTGATTATGTACTGGAAAACATTTACAAAATAAATACATCGATTCAATAGTTTGATTCACAAAGAAGAATTCATGAAGCACACAGGATCTGTAATGCTTAAAAGATCATATCAAAAAATTTCAATAAAACATCTTAATTTAACTTATTAATTTATTGCTTTACACATTGTTATTCACCGAATATCATGATTAGAATGATACACTGATAACAATTGTATAAGAAGAAATAGTTTGAGTAAACTGAAACAACGATTATTACTATATAGAAATAATTGGATATTTTATACAAATTCGTTAAATTTAATATATTTTAAAACGACGCAAAAACTGGGAAAATCTAATCAAAACAATCGCTACACTTGAAGTCAATGAAAAAACAGACTTTGTGAATAATCAATTAAATTTAACATTTTCAATCAATCTGTGTTTTTAACAATCACTCTTTTTCAAGATAAACATTAAAAATGTCGTCTTTATTATCCAGTGTGCAATAACAATGCTTAACCTTTTAAAAACATTTTGAACTGAATTGTGATATAGCCACACCTCTATGATTCAAACCAATAAGCTAGTGTTTTCTCTTTATGGATTCATTATGTGTGATAAAATCAATTATCTGAGCAAATAAAACTATCTTAGTTTACAGAGATTTTTACTTCATTGCCCACAACCCAATATTAATAGATTGTGAATACATAATCTGTTCGACATTAAAACTACTGCTAATTTATTTTGGTTACAGCTTAGAAAATGTAAGTGCTTATCTATGAATATTGACATAGCTACAAACACACACATAAATATGCATGAATGTGCGTGGGTTTAAACAGACCAAAAACTCCTACTATGTCATACTTTAAATGGCATTTAGTAATTCAAAAAAGCTCTACCCTTTTTTTCTTACTTAATTTTGATTCACACAAAGTTTTTGGTTCAAAAGTATATGTAGCAACAAACCCAACAAGTTCATCACACGTTGGTCATTCTAAACGGGCAAAAATCTTGCATGGATCAATATTTCTATTACCGAAGCACACACATGTGACGTTTTGTGTATGCATATATAAATATATATATATGCATGCTAAATTAAGACCAATATAACCTTCGTTGTTTTTATTGATATTAGTTCTAAAATAAGGCCATTTACACTTCAACAGTCAGAGATCATTAGATCACCTTAACCTTTTAGTTTCATTAGGCGATTTTCGTATGTAGACTCTGATAATAAAAAAAAAGTTAATCTAGTATTTCTTTTGATAAATATAAAAATTAACTTGCCTGAGTATCCTCCCCATGCTGCTGTTCTTAAAGCTGACCAACCGTCTTGATCCATTGTATTAGGATTAGCTTCTGATTCAAGGAGTGACTTTACACTTTCATACTGGCCTAATCTAATCATTGATATTAATTCATCACAAACTCTTGATGGCTTGTCATCTGTAAACTTTTTCTGTTCTACTGATTCTGTTAAATTATACAATTCATCATCAGTCTGGTGTTGTTTTTGTGAGTAAGTTGAGTAATCATATCTTATCGTCTCATGATTATCATTATTATCAGCATCGACAAACTGATTTTGATGTTTATCATTTATGGATGAATGACGATCAGATAACACTGTTGTACAATCTAATAAATTCGTCGTGTAATTCAGATCTAAATTTGACACATCAACTGATTTACTAGTGTCCATTAGAACATTTGTCTTACAAACATCAAAGTCTCTACTGTTGTTATTATTATTATTATTATTATTAGATTTATATGCATACAAATATCCTTCTGAAGATATCACTAACTGATTTTCGGTAGTTTTATTATTATCACTGTTATTAAGTGAATCAAAGAACGAAGCATCATACTGAAGATTGCCGTATTTAGTACTGAAAGTATTATTATTATTATTATTACTCATCGCTTTGTCAATTAACATTTGACCATCCATTAGATTGCATAAATAAGTAGAAGTGCAATGTTTAACATCAATTAACCATTCAGCAAATATTTCATGAAAAAATTGTACAACTATTGAATTTTGGAAACTGAAAATATCGTTTTCTTTTTTCGTTATATACTTGGGGGATAATTTACAACACAGGGATAATATTGGTTTCAGTTGTTCAATCTGTTGATAATAAATGAACTTTTTTAAATCAGGATTTGAAACAACTAATATCGAATACAGTGAACTAATAGATAGTGGTTCACAAGATGCTAACATAATATTGAAAATTGGTTTAATTGTCGTAAACGATGATTTACTTTGGCATTCATTCACACTTACGGGAAATAAACTTTGACATAACCAAAGAAATAAACCATTTAGGGTTCCTGGAATCAAAGATATATCCTGAAAAGTAATTTTCTCATCTCTGATCCAGTCTAATACAGTTTCTAAATAAAGCATACAAGCACTGCTTTTAATTCGAAGTAAATTTATAATATCTGATCTTATTTCATTTGGACATTTAATAGATTCGTCAATAAATCTATTATTCATATAATTTTGTACATCTTGAGCAATCATTGGTTTACGTAGATCATCTATGGCAATCGTTTTAATTCCAGGAAACATGTGTTTCATGATTGATCGATATTTACGTCTACAAGTAATTATCAAAATTAACCAATCAGGTAGAAGATGAGCATGATTTGCAAGTATCTCTAAAATACTTCCTTCCGGTACTTGATTACTTTCATGTTCATTAGAATTGTTAGTAAATGATGCTTTGTCATCCATGGATTTAAATTTAGCTAAAGCAGTATAAACTTCATCTATTCCATCAATTAAAATAAAGAAACGTGAACTAAGATAACCAGATGCAGTCAATGATGGGTCAGTATCTGAAAAGTTAAGTAAATGAGAAGTATTTATGTTTCTAAGTGGTTGAATTATCTCATAATAAAATGCGTCACTAGCTGAATTTTTGTCGGTTAATTTGTCGTAACTACTGTTGTTGTTATTGAGTGCATTTTTAAAAGCTTTACTGATGGGATTATTGTTTGATAATAATTGGCTTTGCAATGAGTTTACAAAATGTTCCTGTTTCAGTGATTTCTGACTTCGTGCATCACAAAAATGATAAGCTACCATTCGTGAAGCAACATGTTCACATGTACTAAACATCTGATTAAAACCATGAGTAGAATTATTACTACTCATTTTTGATTTCTTAAATAAATCCATTCTAGTTTGTATAATTTTCCGACATATACTAGTCTTTCCAGATCCAGATTCACCACAGATAACTAATTTATTGGCTAACTCCCCACATTTTTCATTATTTGTATAAACATATCCCCGATTATTTTGTTCACATATCAATTCTTGGTTATTAGTTAAATATTCCAATAGTTTTTCCCATAACCATTCGCGACAATAAAATTTTCGATCCAGGTTGTGTCCTTCGGTTAAACAACTAGCAGTTTCATCATAATTATCATCCGAACAAGATGCATGTCGATTCTTAACACTATCGACATTATATGAAATAATCATGTGGGAATCGGAATCAATACTGAAATTATCAATTTGATTATCTTTATACGTAATGCTGAATGTGTCATTTTTGTATGCATTTCTGTGCTTGCAATCATTTTCAATATTTTTACTATTATAATCGATACTTTGAGTACTGTAATGTACTTCATAATCATCAGTAGTAGTAACAGTAAACAAATAATGGTTGGATAGATTTGTATATTGTGAATGAGATATATTAGTCAAACTTTTGGAACGGTATTTATGGATTGGAGTGAAATACTGAATATCCGAAGACAATGAAAATGATCTGACCATAGGAATACTTTCAGTATTACAAAACATTTCATTCATACACACATTCGGCTTTCACTGTGAATTTTTTTATAGATGAACTTTTTTCTGCTTCATCATTTGATGTCTATTTCTTTTGTCTCCATACTGTAAATGAAAAATCAAACATCAAAGTCAATTCTAATCTTCGAAATGTAATCCTTGTACATGCTGTAAAATCAACTTGCAGAAATTAAAGCCGTTGTGTTTGGTAAACAGTTAGATAAATAATTTGCACATATGTTCTATTTCATACTGACGAAATGAGAAAGATCTGTTAAAAAAATAAACACAAAACTAATTGCGAATACCATTTCTATAACTGTCGTAATAACAATATTTATGCGTCATTAGTTATCGGTTTGACGTTAAAACATGAGTGACCTCCAAATACACATAATTTATACAAATATTATTTCACAGATATCCTCACAGTAAGATCCAACCACAATTAAAATTTTCTTGAATAAATGCTTACTTTAGTTATTCTAAGGTAATCCAATTTTTAACGAGAAAACCTATCAGCATACAAAATTTAGCTAAAAGTTTTATAAATATACAAATGGTAAAGGAAAATGCGTTATCTATCGCTAATCGGAATAAAAGAGGCAATATGAAAGGAAAATCGTGTTTCAAAACTCCTATTTACAACCTAAAGATTTATGCATGGAAGCAGTTGGAGCATACAGAATAATAAATTGTAATAAGAATAAAAGTGAGACATACATGGCTAATTAACCATAATTATTGGATGATAAAAGACGTAACAAGAATCAGTAATTTTGAAGGAAGTTTATAGTTAGGCCTACGTTAAAATATTATACAACAAACGGGCTACCTGGTTGGGGTCCGCGAGATGAAAATCACCTATGGTGTTAAACCTAGAACGACATGGCTCAAAATCTTTGCGACGGGGCAGATGCATCCACTCTTTGTGTCATCTCAAATTCTAATCTTCAGAGTTACTTATCAATTCTATCTTTCTTTTCCTAAAGTTATCTGACTGAACTATACTGCCTGAATAATACCTTTGATCCCTAATATTCTCCATTACCAGTAACTCTTCTACTATCTCCACCACTATGGGATTTGGACTGACGGTGGCGTCTCTATGCTAGTGCGGTATAACAACTTGAACTGACGTTGACGACGTCCTACGTTGTAACTGACTGACTGACACTAACACTTAATAACTATTCCACTGATGTATGGCTATGCAAGTTCCATATTTCTCTCCCATCTAAGCTTATCGAAAACTTTCACAAAACAATCGGAGTTTTTCAGTTATACGTGATGTGCAAAGATATAAAAATGGGCAAATTAGATCCAACAAAAGTGATCAAAGTGAAATTCAGAAGTAATGCACTGTGATGCTCAAGTGTTTTCCTATGTAGTTGAACGAATGTAAATTAATCCCCTTCGGTCCACTTACGACCTTCAGGTATAAACTTGCAATTTGTCTAAAATCTCGCAGCATGTCTGACACAGATAAAACACTGCGATGCTAGAGGCAGGAAAATTGTAGAACGGATTTTTCATACGGTGTTGAAGATTAGATGACCATTAGTCTGGTTCACTCCTTGATATAACTTGACGTATAGAATGCATCACATGCTCCAACTACGCCAGTCAAATTAGTTTCATGATCTTACTCACTAACTTGATCAACCCTCCTGAAATCCCTCTAGAAAACAACTTCTTATCAAACTACAAAATATTTTTTGCAATCTTTAGAAGTCTATGATAAAATGATTTCCGCACTTTTGTACCACACATTCTTAGAATCCAAAAAGTACAACCCTATGGTTACAAGCAGTAAATTGATGTGGAGAATAGACCTCACATATTTATTTTAAGGTATGTTTGTTGGATTAGGGTGGTAAACAAATGGCTTAGTAGGGAATACTTTAAATGTCATTAGAAAATTGCAATATCGTAAAATCATTCTAAAGAACAGTTGGTTGTCATAATTTAATGAAATGACATTGTGCATTATTTCAATTACGCATCAAATCAATCAGATAGGACAAAAACTGTTCAATAGCTTTGTATTCTATAGGCTTTGGGAACCACAAACATTAATTACTTTAAACACTAGAATCAAATAGAACGAGTGTTCTTTGCATAAATTTAATTAAATAGTTAGCATGCGTAATCCGTATTTAAGAAAGCGCAGTAAGTTAAAAACAAAATATTTGGAGACCAAGTAGGCTTAATTTACTAACCTTATTTCAACAGTTCATCACCTGAAGAGATAATCCGCAATTTATGCATTCAGTTTTAATGGTATATCTGCGACAAAAATTAGAATTATGGAATAAAAATTATTGTTATTCAAACTGTTCATCATAGTAGGTGACATTTGCAGGAATTTCAGGGTCTGTCATTTGAAGTGTTGAATGAAAAATGAGGCATTGGTCAAAATTGAAACCGATGATGGACATATATGGATATAAAACAAATAATGCAGAAATAAGTAAAATCTCGGTGCTTATAATATGTATAGATACATAAATATATTTGAAATCAGAATACAAGTGTTAAATATCGGTTTTCAAAAGAAATTCGCAAACCGGATCGAAACAGTTTTCAAAGATGAGACATACGATGAAATGAAAACAAATAGTTCTTTACAGTCGATCGAACCGAAGAAATTTGTCTAAATTAGAAAACATTGATTTTGGAAACGTTAGACTATCACAAATTATTTACTACTAAACTTTTCAAAAATAACACGAGACCTTGAATCAAATCAGCGTATTGTTACAAAAGTGGAATGTTAAAAGCATTGATTTATTTCAGCATTATTTCAGTAAAGATAAACATTTGTACGTCCTGTTTTATTCCCGACAAAATTAGTATTATACTAAACTGAAAGTCATGCTTATTGACCTGCAGATTCTGAAAACATCGGCTTCTATCGCTCTGCAGCATACGCTAGTTCTCAGGCCTTCTCTAAAGATGACTCCTAGGTCATTTTCTGTTAGACAAGTGATAATTCAACGATAGTCAGTGCGTATGTATTTACATCTTGGTGGTCAATATACCTCATAATCAACTTAGAACGAAACTATCGACAACTGCATGAGTCTACACCATCCGTATCATTTCTTAAGGTCATTTTTAAGCTCCGATGGGTCAAATTCACATTCTACCTAACCCCACCTCTTGATATCACCAGCATATAACGATATGAATAGTGGTAGAAGACTAGGAAGGTCATATACTTACAGTAGGGATAACACTCGTCCCAAAACTCTACCTTGAGACATTTCGCTAGGCACAGTTTCTCAGCTGATTGTCTTGAACGTAACACACTCACTCCATTTGTGTGCGACTAGGAAATCCTTCATGAAAATGGGTAAGTTTCCATCCCTCCCTACGTCACACTAATTAGATAAAAGCCGATTGTCAACGGATTAGTCAAAACCGTACCAATGTCAATGAATTCTTCATCTAAGAGTAGCCTTTGATGTTTAAGGAAACATCAATTCTCCTCGACCACTGATAAGTTTGCGGGATGTGAATGGCCTATCCTAAAACTGTTTTGATTTTCACGATGTATCCGGTTTCCGTCTGATTAATCAAACAAATCATCCTGAATGATCTTTCCTCATCTCTTATCCACAAAATAAAGTTCTTGCCATTCTCCATATCACTTAACTTAAATAATAGCTGGTTGTGAGAAACTAAGTCACAGATTTAAACTCAACAAATTTGCCATTGGTTAGTAGTTTTCAAAACAAATTATAAATAGGCATTCCCGTGTTCCCGATAATTGGACTTTGTCTCATCGATGCCGATTGTTCTATACCTCCCGTACACTACTTTCCGTCTCGCAGTAGGATGTGAGCCTCTTTATTGAGCTCAGGTCAAAAGTTTTTAGAATTGCTTGAACTAATCGAAGGAGTTAAAACGTAATAACTCCTATGTACGAACTTTTAAATACCTCACGGGCCGTTCGAATATGGCATTCTGGTTCTAACATCCTATGATATGATGACGCTTAGTTTTTAGTTTTTTGTATATTTGGTTCCCAAATTATTGGTTTTACCTAAGCTGAGGCTAATTCGTTGAGAACAATATGGAAGTCGAGGACTAAAACCACATGGTCACTAGTTCCCAGTGCTAGTATACACTCGAGGCTTGCGACGTAACCCCTTAGTGGGTTAACATGAAACATTGTGAAAAAGATTCGGGTCTCGAATTGCACCCAAATGCTTCTTTAACATGTGCGATACGGCACATGTACCTTCCGATGAAACTAGCTGTTATTTGGAGAGGTTTACCGACCACTCAGTCCCTAAGTTTTACTGGTCTGTCGTAGGCGAATCAAAGTCTTCCAAGACTATTTTTCGACGACTGAAACCCAAGTGTTGAATTCGGCTAGCTAAACCCCATCTGCCCAGTTGTTCGGACTGAGCTAAGGGAGGTCAGTCAGCAAATTTTGTTCACCGCATTTCAAACAACTAATTAACTTTTTCGTGTAGTTATGTAGAGGATATTAGTTTTATTAATAAAGTTAATTCTGCTTCACTCCTCTGGTTTTACTAACGTGAAGCTTCAGAATTGAGATCTCGATTGTCTACAGATAGGGTCGGGCAAATTTGGGCTTGGTGTAGACTCTCTGTATACGTAACTTCAGAGGCCTCAGAGCAGTTATATAATATATAGAAGGACCCATTATGTAACTTCGTGGTGCATCCAAAGGGGTTAATCAACATGCTCTGATGAAGCTTCGTTAATCGCATAATCTCAGTTCTACGGTATATTTGTCAGCACCTGGTCTAGGCTCTGTGTCTTTTCTCAAACTTTATCTTTTTATAAGGTTGTAGATTCACGACCGTTTATGGAAAAGAGTCACGATTCTTCTATTTTATCATCTTTTTGTTGCATAACGTCCTATTCATCATTGTTATTATTTATTTATCATTATTATCTAACGCTTGAATTTCGTGAAATCCGAATATTCTGTATACATGAAGATTCTGTTCAGTATTTGCAAGTGATGACATTACATT